CCACACTGTGGAGGGCAAACGTGCACAAGACCACCCGCTCGACGCCCGGCGCAAGTCGACAGCACACACCATGGCTGCCTTCCATCGCTGATACCACCGCCTGTCCCTCTAGCAACGACCGACCGAGGACTGCGACTTCAGTTCTTTCCTGTTGCGTTCCCTCGCTGGCCCACGCCTCACCATGGCTCTAGGCACCCTCCCACCCGACTTCACGGCCGCCGACTTCTCGTCTGGCGGCACCGGCGCCCGGTTTGCACGTGCCATTATCATCGTGGCCGGCGTATGCGCCCTGGTCGCGAGTCTGGTCACTTTTGTGTAGGCAGTAGAGCTTCCATCTTGCATGACATGAACTGACGTAGCTGTAGTGCTGTCTGGTTACAGACGTGAGGAACACCTCCACCTACCGATATACATGTGTTGAACGATTCATAGGAAGAACTACCGCAAGCCGGTGCTACAGCGATATGTCGTCCGTATCCTCCTCATGTGAGCCCTCTCTCCAGCTGTCGTGTGTCATCGCTCACGTTATCAAGGGTCCCTATCTACGCAGGCGCATCGTGGGCCAGTTTGGTGTCGACCATAGCTGCATCCTATGTAGAGCCCTTCAGAGATGTCTATGAGGCCTTCACCATCTACACCTTCCTCCAGCTGCTTATCAACTTCATCGGCGGCGAACGCGCCCTCATCATTCTCATGACCGGTCGCGCACCCGTCTCCCACCCTTGGCCTCTCAATCTCGTCTGCTCCAAGATCGACATATCCGACCCGCATACCTTCCTCGCCATCAAGCGCGGCATCCTGCAATACACATGGGTCAAGCCGCTATTGTCTGTGGCTACCATCATCATGAAGGCCACAGGCACATACAAGGAAGGCTACATAGGCTTGACATCCGGCTACTTCTGGAGTGGCATGATCTACAACGTCAGCATCACCATCAGTCTGTACGCCCTTGCCATGTTCTGGGTGTGCATGTCTACCGATCTCAAGCCCTTCCGGCCTATGCCCAAGTTCTTGTGCATCAAGGGCATCATCTTCGCCTCATACTGGCAAGGCTTCTTCCTATCCATTCTCGTCTTCCTGGGCGCCATTCCAGATGATGTGCCTGGCTACAGCCCTGACAACCTCGCCGCTGCTGTACAGGATGCTCTCATCTGCTTCGAGATGCCACTGTTTGCACTCGCCCACTGGTATGCCTTCTCTTGGCACGATTACGCCGACGATACCATATCGGCCGCCCGCTTGCCTGTCAAATATGCCCTGCGCGACGCCTTCGGTCCCCTGGATCTCATCCAAGACACCAAGGAAACGTTTGCCGGCAATCACTACGAATATCGCTACTTCGATGCGCGCGACAATGTGCTGGCACACGAGGAGTCATCATCGCGTGCTGCACGCATGGCCGAAGGCATGAGATACGAGCGAGGAGGCAAGGGCAAGTACTGGATCCCCAAGCCTGGGCAAGCATCGGAGCATGAACCACTCCTTAACAAGGTCACATCGAGCCGCGCTAGAGCCATGAGTCCAGGGCCGCACAAGGCCCTCAAAGGCGAAGGTGCCAAGTACGGCACACCCGACGTGGTCGAAGAGCCCAATCTGGACGCCGAGGAAGAGCGCTTATATGATAACGCACGTACGCTGGAGTTCGGAGACTGGAACGTAAGTATACATCCATCTGCAATTGTGTCTTATCTAACCTAGCTGTAGTACCCCGTCATCGAAGCCCACCGTCCATCTCGTGAAGACCGCATGTACGCCGATCCCAACATTCTGACCGCATCGACCAACCGAAACCTACTGCAACCCACCAAGGAGAACAAGCGCAGGAGGAAGAGCCAAATTCAGGATCTACAAGAATCTGTAGACAAGGGCAAACAACGCGACCAGTCGAGCACTGGAGAGTCATCCCGCTCAAAGTCCTCACATTCCAAGTCGCGTGCGCCCTTTGGCAACCTTCTCCGCCAGAAGTCTTCTTCTTCCAGCTCAGCGAAATCGGACAAGAGCCAGCTTGTGGATCTCGTTGTCGAGGATCATCAGGCAGAAGAAGTCGACCGTGTCAGAGCGCGTAAGGAAGGTGGTCCAGGATGGAATGAGGTTCCTTCCAAGCACTTTGTGTAGGTCTCCCCTCCATACTCGAGTCCAAATAGCAAACTAACCATATCTGTAGTAAAACATACGAGCCAGGCGAGGAAGAAGAGGTTCGAGAAGGCTTCAACCCCGATGAGCCTGAGCCGCAGAACCCAGAAGCTGAGCACAACCTGAACTATGCGTTCACCGAGAACCAAAGCGAAGAGGAACAGCGGAAACACGACATCAAGCCGCACATTGTTAGCGAGGCCAATCACTGGGAAACGCGCGATGTCAGCAACCAGAAGACCAGTGAAGAGGCCGAGGATCATCCGAGTCCGTCCTACGGCAGTTTCAGAGAAGAGCGCAACGCTTGGAATGCCGAGTGATGACGCGATCCCGATCCCGATCCCGATCTCAAGGAGGCACTCATTGTCAGACTTTGGGCCATTGATCTGTTTTATACCCAAGCTTATGCCACATATTACACCTTGCGATATCTTTTTCCTGCGGCGTTAGAATGTCAGCGATATCCTTGTTCGTTTAGCATAACTACGGCGAAATTCATCTACTATACATCTGCCTAAGAAGTGCAAAGTACGGTCCGTTGTGCATTGTGCATTCGTTTCCGCTGTCATCTAAATCATGCGGCCAATGAACCAAGCCCGATAAAAACCTTCACCCCAAACGGGATATAGGTGGAGATTTGCCCTTCCGCTTCTGTGGAATGGGTACAAATCAGGACGAGACGAGCTTTTTTCATAAGGCCTCCAAGACTCTCAATGCGCTGGCACCGGTGAAGATGGATAGACTATCTTCACTGCCGCCTCTAAAGTCCATTTCTTGTCTATGATTGGATGAGTTGACTGTTGATTTCTTACGTGCTTGTTTCATGAATTATGCATCTCACCAATTGCAAACTACCCGCTAACATGAAGGTTTATACCAGAAATCGTGAGTAGATGACTGATTCGCTGTCGCACATCCTGGCATACATGCCGGTGCGGGAGCGAACTTGGCGAGAGCCTCAGCAACCGATGGGGCAGGCGCACGCGTGATTTGCACCTTCCACCAGACCCAGGCATCACGGACCCATCAATTCAACACTACCCTCATATATCGGAAATCCGTTCGTGCGCGTCTCAAACAATGACGCTCGTTACGATGCGCATGTTTCAAACGTCGCAGATAAAGGCCAGTGTTCCAAGGCATCCCCGCCATGTCGCGGTGATCTGCCCAAGGACGCGACAGCTGTGCGCATGCTCGAACATGGCGATATGGAGTAACAGCCCTGATGCCAGATCTGCCAACGAAAAGGGACCCAGCGCGCCACATGCCGACAAGGCCTCTGGCAGTTTCAAGCCGCAAGCGCTATTGCCTCGTCACTGGTCCACGTTACTGCGAGTCTCCGCTCTGCCTCGAGCGCTTACTCTATTTTCCTAGCCAATCACACCCGGCACCCTACCATTTCGCCTCAATGCGCGCAAGCCTCCACACGAGCTAGCTGGTGAAGTTGACAACCTCCATGGTAGGGATGCGCTGCCATTGGGCGCGTACAGAATGGTCAGGGACAGGCCTCATCTATAACATGCGAGCCACTGTCGTCCTGTGAAGTGCGAGTGGTTCGCTGTTCCTGACGGCCAGACCTCCAGCATTTGCGCATTCTAGAAGCGAACCATCCGTTGCAGGACAACACATTCGTCGACAGGCTGCGACTTTATCCGAATGGTTCGCGCAGTCAGCCTTTCCTCTCTCATCCTTACCCTTTCCTCCGACCTTCTTCTACTACTCTCTTCTAGTATCTGTTAGTCTTTGCTTTTGCCTGCTTCAGGCACCACACTCTCTGTCACGCTTCTTGTTCGACTGCTTTTGATCATTTTGATGATGGGTTATTAGCTGTACTGGTCTACAGCGTGAAAAGAAGATGAATTACGGGAATATGCAAGAGAAGGAACCCAGGTCCCCATGGCTGGCCATCAAGTTTGGATGCTGTGCATCAAAAGAGGATTTTGTGGACGATGGGAGAAATGCGCTGAGGGCCGCTGGTAAGTTCGATCCCTTCTTCGACTCTCCATCCTCACAACTGTCTTTTCACTTTGCGCTCTCTTTTCTGCGGTCGTCTCTACAGATTCCTGCCTCGATCATAGCAGTCTGCTGTCCGTTGGTTCCCAACTCCAACGTTCTTGTTGAGGTGCACCATGCCACTCGCTTACGCTCTCCTTAATCTGCTTGATGCACGACTATACCCGGGCGATGCTCCAACAGACATCCAATATGTTGGAGCCGCATAGGGCAATCCCGATCGATCCAACATAACGCTAACGTCCTGATGCATAGGGGAGACTGATATGCGCATATGCTACGAGCAACCGCGTCCCGTACCCCAACCTTGCGCGGAGCCAACACTTCAACGCCCATCGACAAGTCAGTCGGTGAGCCGTCACGTCTCACAATGGGTTTCCAACAGTCGCGAGTACGCTACACGTGCTTCGTCTCGTGCAAGCATCTCGACCCTTGCGCGACCAAGGCGCTCCCATTCAAGGCCTAGCATCAGTCGCCCAACCAACTTTCGGCACTTCGATGGTCTTGATGATATGCCTTCAATGCTCGATGATGCTTCCGTGCCTACTCGCCGTCGTCGTAGCTTCCGTCCGCTTGAGCTATCCATCTACCTTCCTGACGGTTGTGGACATCTTTCTCCACTGCCTGACTTCGACGGTGAGGATGCCTGGGCTAGCCTACCGGCGCAGCTGGAGCGTCCTGCGGAAGCCCATGTCCGCGTAAGAGACTCACGTACGAGTTCTGTATCTTCAAACCCTTCTGCCTCATCATTCGTCATCCAACGTAAACCCGTCGGTGGGCATTCTCGAAGGAGCAGTGTCCAGAGCCAGAAGAGCACCGCCACCCACGAGAGGAGACTCTCAGGAACCACCATGGGTACCATGGCTACGCCCACTCTAGCATACTTGCCAGAGAACTCGCCGATTGCCGTTGATCAGATGCTTGAAAAGCCCACCATCCAGAGATCGCGCACGTCCGGCACATTGTCGCCTGCCCGTGTGCTCTCACGTCTCCCATCACCGTCGCGCAATCGGGCCAACACTGCACCATCTTCTCGCCCAGGAAGTCTTCGCCGTACAAAGACCGACGTAGATGATGCCATCCGCGAACTGAACACTATAATCGAAGAGCGCCGTGCCAGCGCCTACCGCTCCCACGCCCATTCACCCGCACTCATCAATCGTCCTCCACCCTCTCCATCTCACCACGTGCCTTACATCGCGCCGTCCATGCGTATGCATGTACGCTCTGAGACCCTCTCGGACATCGGCTCTGCCTTCTCAGCTCCTCTGGGCTTCAAGCCACTCGCCGCCACCCCAGAAGCTACCGCGCCTCGACGAGCAACGATGGGACTTACACTCTCCCCACCATCCTTCGCTCACACCGGCCCCTTGACCTCGAACCCGATCACGCCGCCACCACCCGCTACGCCCACCACACCCATCGCCCGCCTAGGAGCCTGGCTCAAGCGCTCCACCTCCACCCTAGCCTCTTCCTCGCGTCCCACGACGCCAAAAACAGCAGACTCTTTCTACCAATGCTCGCCCTACCCCGCCCTCCCTACCTCAACCTCTCGTCCCTCAACATCCGGCTCCCGCACCCTACACACCCGACAAGAGAGCCAAGAAAGCAACGGCACAGCCACTGTAACCCTATTTTCTACTACATCCTACTCCTCCACCCGCTCCACCTCGCCTACGCCAACAACCCACTCTCTCGCCTCCACTGTCGCTACTTGCTCGCCGCCCCGCAAACTCCGCCGCGTACCTGCTCCCTTGACGCTTGTAAAGGAGAAGGAGATTGCGGCTGAGGCTGGTCCATTGAGCGCGACGACAAGGAAGAGCAGTGCCATGAATGTGAAGCCGCCTATGAGTCCTAACTTTGATCTGCTCAAGGGTATGGAGATTAGTGCTAAGGACGTTGGCGTTAATGGCAGGGCAAGTGCGATGGTCATGAGTCCAGGGGCTGTTGGTGTTGCCTTCTAAACATCTCTTACTAGTTCTATCTTTTGTAGGTTTACGGGTCTATGAGGTATGGGTAGCGGAGTTGTATGTCTTGGTTTGGCAACGGAAAACAGGATCTGGGACCGGACAGGTAGGACTTTGGACTCGGTTTTCCTGGGATGGACTTTCGGATGGGTACCGTTTGATGTTGTTATGTCGATTTTGATATCCACTTTCTTCTTCTTCTTCTAGCGACTTGGGCATATACCCTCCGTTTCACTCTCCTGCTGCAAGCTGTCTCGCTTGTACGGGGAGGCGGATGCCTGGGCGTGTATTCTTAGCTTCTTATAATTTATAGCCTTTTGCTTTCTATTCTGCTGTTTCTATACCGTAATTGCTGAAGTGACTTCCTTCGCAGCTTCCAGTGTTGTGGCTTGCGCGTGTATGGGACATCTGGAAGGTGAGGACGCTAAACCCTTTACGGCGTAGTGTCACCAGAGGTGGGCATGGTTTTTGTCTCATTCTACAACGGATAAATTAGGGTAGAAGCATACATCATCTTCGAAACTGCCTATTCATCAACATGTGATACTCTGAATACTGCAAGTTGCAAGTTGCGAGAGCTTCTGCTCGTGTCTAGATGTCTCATGTGCACCCGCAACCGCGGCACCTGCATGGAGGTGCGGCTATCACACTACGATATTGGGAGGAGCGATCAAATTCATTTACAATCACGAGGGCACTTGGGGTGGCTGGAATTTGTGTCGCATTCTACAAAAAGGTATGAGTAGAAATATGCACTGTCTTGTATAGGTACTTCCTATTTGCATAGACATAATAGCGTGAATGCAGCAGCTTAGGGATGCGACAGGAATAATAGCCACTCCCAGTGCGGATATACTTGTGAGCGTTACGGAATGAGATAATCTACGATGTGAAGGCATCTCACCGTAGTCTACCTCCGCGCCTGCCACGTAGCGTACGAGGCACTTCATTTCACGCGAGCATCGTGATTGCTTCATCCTCACCTAAGCAAGAGCTTGAACCCGCGAGCTCTTTCACTTTCAATATATCGATTTGTTTACTCTCACATTGCTATCTTCTCAACAGCACTGTTGCATTAGTAAGTGAGCGCCCGGCGAGAAGAGCTGAATACTGACCTGGCAAGATCATTAGTCTTCCTCACTCGCCTTTCGAACACAGCATCGACTCCAAAATCGTATCGTATCCCCCAAGGCGTATCGATACCCATGTCAACACGATCCACACTCTCGATATGACCAATGTTGTTGATATGCCTTTTTCTGACATCGATGACTCGGATGCGGATCTATACGCGATGGACCTTCCTTTATCGCTCGCAGGCGAACTGGCCGCACAACAAGCGACAACTCACTGCGCAAATGTCAGCGGTTCAACGCAATCGGAGCAATTAGAACTTCAAGCTACTCCAGAGCCTCCGCCCAGTCCTCCTTTCTTCAAACCAGCATCCTGGAACGCGATTGATGCCGCCACCGCGGAATACTATGCCAATATGCAGCAGGAGATAGCCGCACAAGAGCTTCGCGATGTGAAGCGTTGTCTAGACCTGCGACATAACATCGCTCGCACCGCCAAAACGAAGATTTTCGATTCTGAGCCGCTCGTTGTACCCAGCTCCTGGTCGATGTCGGGAGTTCACCTAAAGAGCTTGGTGAAGCATCCTTTTCTGCTTGAGGAGTACCTGGAAGGCGAGCACTTTTCCCGCGAGGCGATCAGGATTCGAAGGGAATACTTTGAAATCAAACACTGTGGCTCACCGGAGATCAAGCGTCTCGCTGCCATGGAAGCAGACTACAGAGAAAGCCAGGCGTCACGGTCGTTGCTTGATCTCCTGCTAGAAGCCATTCAACATGCAACGCAAAAGCTCATCTTGGAGCTTACAGAAGGCGATAAGACTACGAAGAGACCTGTCTTGGATCTATGTCGTCGCCTGGTCGCTTATTCGACCCACACAGATGATGATGGTGAGCTCATTCGGGCCGTGGAAGCGATCAATGATGTAGAACGAGGACATATGCAGTTGCAATACGATAACGTGTTGGAACGGTCCACGGAAACTTCGTCAAAGTCTTCGATGCCTCATGCAGTCGCTCCACCAGACTCACCACCGCCTTATCACATCTGTCTTCCAGCAGAGCCAGCGTCGTCGCCACCACCGGTTGAGACATCCCCGCCCAAGGATCCGAGTCGGCTGCGTGTAAAGTTCCAAGAGAATTTGACATTGCTCAGTTCAGGTAAGCGATATGCAATCCAGCCCTTCAAACCAGCATACTAACTCCGTGCTACCAGGTAAATGGAGAATGCCGGGAAAGAGCCAATCAAAGCCCTCATCTAGTTCACGCAAGCCACTGAGTAGTCAGTCTTTACGAGGTAGAAGTCACCACAGAGCCACAGACATAGGCCATTTGACACATCCCATCGTCATGATGGCCCTCGAACCGCCGCCTGTAGCTTCAAGGCCCGCCGACCTCACTCCCGCTCCTCACACCATAATCCGCCCTGTGGCTTCAAGACCAACGCCTATCAGGCCGGAAGCGACGCTCTCACCGGGGTCTTCGCTCGCAAATACTGGCAAGAAGCGTCGGGCAAGCCGGGAACTGGCTGCTACAAGCGATTGCGAAACAAACCCGACCAAACGACCCAACAGGAGTGAGCGTGACGGAAACGCCCACTCCGCGCAAGTCGAGAGTCGCGATGCCAATGTCGAAATAGGTGTGTCTATGTTTCACAAGTCTTCTCCAGTACGTCACCCTACTAATCAATTCAACAGGCAACACAGCGCGACCGACGTGTCCTACTCCGAGCCCCCAGATGCAAGCAGCGCTTGCAGAGGCATGCAGGAAGAGGGATGAGCGACAATCGAACCAATGGCAACTTGTGATTTACAAGCGCGATGAGTATGTCTTCTGGAAGAAAGAGTGGAGAAGATTTGAAGATACTGACAATGAAGCGTAGACAGAACACTTTGGGAACTGGGCGGTGCTATTATTTTGGGCAGGGTTAGATATGACGCAGGCAGTGAGGTCGTGGTATTGCGCATTGTAAGGTCGTAAGAAGACGGCGAGCATCGGTATCATTATTACCGCAATCAAGCTCGGAAAGCTGCTTTGCTTTCAACAGCGGTCTTGATGCTGCATAACTGTGGTTTTGCGTGTGTTGCGTCTCTTCCCTCGTCCCCATACATGTGTACTCCGTTGTTGAAATCGATGCACCATATTCAAAGGAAGAACTGAACCGAGCCCCATAGAGCCGACATTGACGTCGCGTCGCCTTCTTCTCATGTGTTCATGTTGATGTAGGCTCCAGCATGATGAAGCTTTTCCTTATATGAGGTGTATGAGCTGTAAAAGACGCAGTAGGAGTAGCGCACCTTCAGATAACGTAACAACCGCGTCGACACCGGTTGTATACTCACAAAGCCGTACATCCGCCATTTTCGCAAGCCGTCCAGATCAGTGCCCAGCCCACGTGCATTCCTCCCATTCGCTTCCATCCTCTCTCCATCCACGATCCACGATCCATCGTCCACCTGCCCCTCATGCGTACTCCACCGCCACACCTCCCAAGCCGCTTCTCCTATACCACGCATAATACCATCCATCGCGCCATCTCCACACGTGTCTTATCTCTCCCACCTGATTGACAGCCCTCCGCCACGCCTGGGCGGATGTCGCCGCTCCAATCTCCCCAACCACGCGCTTTCGGACCAATCACCGTCCCACCTTCCCAAAGAAGCTACAGCCTCGGCCCGCGCCAAACCAGGGTCCAGCGCTGCACTCCGACCAACCAAACCACGCGTGTCGCTGCACGCGTCGAGAACACGCACAAAAAGTCAAGAGAATCAGTGGTATTGCCAAGGGCTATCGGCGCTCGCGCATGGCCGGTGGTATGTTGTTCTCTGGCTGTGATAGGCAAGTCGCGAAGATGAGTTAGTCGAGGGTGAGGTGGGGTGGTGTTTAGTAACGGATGGGTCGGACGGCCAGCGGCGATAACTGTCAGGAACAGGTCAAGTGGAGTGTAGCGCGATCGTCATTGATAGACAGCAGCGGGACCGGGTTCTTGGAACGCGCTTTTTGACTTGGTAGCATGGTAGCATGGTAGCAATGCGGATTATAAGAAGATAGGGCCCGAGCCTCAATACTGGAGAACGCTATTCCGGTTCATACCTTCGTTTTTACTCTTCGTTATGGCGCCTTTGACGCGACTTCTTGCCCTTTCGGCTTCGGTGGCGGTTTCTACTGCGCTGACGATTGCGGAGATTAATGGAAACAAGTTTCTCTCGCCATACAGAGATCAGACGGTTTCGAACGTTACTGGTGTTGTTACGGCGAAGGGACCCGATGGTCTTTGGTTGCGATCGACACAGCCTGACCGCGACGATCGGACATCCGAGTCTGTATACGTTTTTGGTCGCACGTTCGGTACGAACCTGACGGTTGGCGATACTGTTGTTGTGGGAGGCAAGGTGGTGGAGTACCGCTCGAACAAGGACTACATCTACCTGACCCAGCTCTCGACACCAGTATTGCAGGGGCGACTCAGCTCGGGTGCTGCCGTAAAGCCGCTGATTATCGGAAAAGACACCCGCGACCCTCCAAATGAGCAATACAGCAGTCTGGATGGCGGAGATGTATTCGCTGTGCCAAACAACGTGTCGCAGATTAGCGTTGCGAACCCGGAGCTGCAGCCAAAGAAGTACGGTCTTGACTTCTGGGAGAGCTTGACCGGTGAATTGGTCACTGTCAAGAAGCCTACTGCGCTCACCAAGCCCAACCAGTACGGCGACACCTGGGTAGCTGGAGACTGGAAGGTTTCTGGTCGCAATGACCGTGGTGGATTGACCTTGACTGACAAGGATGCCAACCCAGAGGCCATCGTTATCGGAACTCCTCTCGACGGAACCAAGAACCCCACTGGCACCAAGATGGGCGATTCAGTCGAGGAGATTACTGGCATCGTCAGCTACGCTTTTGGCTTCTACCGCATCCTCCCTACTACCG